ACTCTGCAGTTTGCTCAACAGATGTTAACGTGTAGAAGAGCAACATGCAACCTGTTGTAATAAACTGAATGTGGAGGTGGATATGTCTCAATATTGAATGTGTGTCTTCTCTTACGTTGATATGCAGAATGCAGCATTTAGAAAACATTCGGCAACTTGAAAATGCAAATACCAAACGCTGCCAGACGATTGTTAGTGTTTATTATAGACATCATTGAGAGTAAGCTGAACCACGACTGCTGACCCGTGTTAGAAATGCTTTAATATACATATAATGCTAAATTAAAAATGACATTGTGCATCGCTGAAGATGCACAATGTGCTGCTTCTGATGGAAATGCCAGCAGGGGATTCCTATTTTTGGGGGAACTACATTTCAGCTCCTTCTCTCCGCTGTCAGTCAAATGCTCGCTGGGTTGTAAAAACTCACGGATGAAAAGAGTGCAAAACTTTTCCAACACGTCGTCTGGGGAGGAAATCAAAGTGCAGCGAGAGTTCAGGAAGTACTGACAGAAGTGCTTCAGAGTCTGATGGGTAACAAAGTGGCTTGTGTTGGACTGCAAGGGTGTTCCTCTCCTCTGGGTCCTCATATGTTTGCAGGTATGTTTTCCACTTGGGATGACTTATTGACGGTCAGTAGCTGGGAGCTAAAAAAGTAAATAATATTTTGATTCATTATGATTCATTTAGCTATTATAAACGAGTTATAGCAATAGGTTAAATGGACAGCGAATAACTGTATCCTTTAACAGATTAAACAAATATTCAAAAGCTAATTTGAGTTTAGTTGATAAGCCATCTCATGCTACATGCTACATGCTATATACTACATGAGTAAGCTACTAACTGAATTTACAAATGGTAAATAACTGTATCCTTTAGCAGAGCTTATCATTTGTTTAACTTTTTTTGGTAGGGGTGGCATTATCTAACTTTGAAAACAAGCCCCTGCTAGTCACTTGTCCTTGATAAAGCTAATTATGATGCTAATTTGACGTTTTTGTGCCATCTCATGCTACATGCTAAATGAGTAAGCTACTTACTGAACAATTTACTAATGGCAAATAACGTGACCTAAGAATTTGTACAATGCATAAAAACGTTAGCTCATACTTTGCTTCATAAATACAGTTGGGATAATCAATGGTAAGGCCGCTACACACCACCTGAGACCAAAGAACGCGTACCGAAGGCGTCCCGACTTTTACGTCCGCTACGCCGCCCGCCTACGAACACACCGCAAAGACTTCAGTCGACGAGTGGCAATAACTGTCCTTCCCAGCAGGCAGCGGTAGTGTGTATTCGTCATTCAAAAGAGGCAACAACCAATCAGAGTGATTTCTTTGGCCGACTTTCTTTGCGCGGGAGGTGTGAAAAACTGCCGTAAAGCAACGACGGTGCGGGACACACCAACCTGAGTAGGGCGCCGCGAATGCCCAACTGCCTCTGACGGCCTCTGACTCCCAAAATCGGGTAGGTGTGTCAGGGCCTTTACAAAACCAGTCGCAAAGCAATCTCCCCTCTGATATTATCCTTGGATTAAGATCAGGCGTAGCGTTACAACACTTAGGTTTATTGTTCTCTGAAAGAAAGAAATGATTGGATATTGCAGAAGTCCATATCTTATAACATTTTGATTATGTGTGCAGCCGTACTCAGAATCATCCTATGTTTTGACCCACAGTCACACCGACACTAAACTGTACAGCAGGGGTGCCCAACCTTTTTTGAACCGAGAGCTACTTTTAAAGTTGCCAGTCTGCTGAGATCTACCAGTCCAAATAGAGAGGCGTAGCCATTACTGACAGCCTGCTACCAGGAAAATACACACTTCTACTTGTATAAAACTGACCTTTGTACGATTAATACTTCATAAAATACTGCAGATCCTTTATCTTACCTCTTTCTAATCTACACAAGTATTTAACTGAAGTTACACAACAGTGTTGTTGATACAGAGTTGGTGTTTATTCACACGTCACTACAGTGGGTAATGTTTTCAAGAAGCATTGAACAGTGCTGCCACATATGACACAGGAAAAAAGAAAAGACTCTGAACCCTTTCTTTGCCATTATATACAAATAGTGTTGCTAGATAGAATAGAATCAAACCTTTGTTTGTTGCATTTTAGTAGATTATAAAAAGAAATGCCTTTAAAATAGGATGCAAGCAACACTAGCTTCTTAACCTGAACTGATAATAGACTATAATCAATTTAAGTTTGCATTCTTATACCGTTTTGTACAATAATTATAATGAATAAGTTCAAACAAACTAAAACTTACAGCAGATTAATAACGGTATCTAACTTGAGTTTTTATTATATCAAAAACCTGTTGAAATGCTACTGTTATTTTTACTGTCCCACAAAAGCGCGTCGCAGCCTCCAGGAAAGCTTCTTTCACAACTTCGTCGTCTTTGAAAGACTTCATGTGTTTCTCAAGAACGTGACTGACACGATAAGATGCTCTGGTAGCAGCCTTGCTCTTGTTGTTGGGCCTGGTGAAAATGGACTGCTGTGCATTTAGCTGTCCTTTCAGGCCCCTCCCCTTTTGGAGCGTAGGGCAGAATCAGGAGGGAGTTCCGTCTCGTAGCGTTTGTGCACTGTTTTGAAATGCCGCTCCTAAATTACCCTTCTTCGATAAAGCCACGCTCGCATTGCAGATGAGACAGATGGACTTTGAATTGGAATAGATACAAAAATAAACATCCTCCCACTCGGAGTGAAAATGATATATTTTGGGCTTTTTTGCTTCTGCCATAATTGCAGTCTTGTGTGTGTGCGGACTGTCACTCCTGTTGACACAGACAACATCAGCGAAATAGTGCCCACTGCCCACCAGCCACGCCCCGACACATGGGGTCACGCCGGCCAATCACAAAGCTTTGATGCGTCAAGTGCATTATTCTGGCACAGGAAGATTAAGTTATAGGACATTAACGATAAAACAGAATATTGTTGTTCTATTTTTAGACACATCTTGCGATCGACTGGGAATCTCCCCGCGATCGACCGGTTGGGCAACCCTGCTGTACAGGGTCAAATAAACTCACACACAGCTCAGTAAACACACAAACACCAAGTCATAAACAAAGATGCATCTTTACTAATTTCTGCAAAAGACTTACAAGCAATTCATCTCCTAGTAAAACCTACAGTAAATAATATATATCATGTGCTGCCATCATCACAGACGTAGTATACCGAACGTTACTCTTTCTGGTTTTTGATTCAGATTTTTAATACAGATACAGTATGTGGCTGCGAGGGAGTGCTGCGTCCTGTGAGTGTGTGTGTGTGTGTGTGTGTGTTGTCAGGGAATCATTTCCCTGCATGTCCTCCTTCGCCCTCTGACGCAGATGACCAGCCTTGAGCAGCCGCTATCTCCCTGAGGAGGGGCTGCCCTAGCAAGTTGTTGATGCTACCAGTTTGTGAGCGGGCAGCTCTCGGTCAGAGATAGTTATTGTTGTGGGACACCTGGAACACATCCTTCTCGGGTGTAGATGACCCCGAGCCATAAGAGACAACAACTGTGATTCAGTGTCCTCAGCTGTTTAGTCTATCTATTGAAGAATGTTGGTTATTACACTCTGAACTAAAACCTGGAGCTACAGGAGGGCTCTTCAGAATTGATGTGGCATCTCTACCGTGTGGTCAGACCGTGGCCCGTGGCATGTCGTGTGAATTCTCCGGCCGAAGCTCCAAATAAACCGTCAGTGTTTGCCATCAAAGCTCCAGCTCTCCTCGTGTCTCTCTGAGTCCTGACTCCATCAAAGCTCCAGCTCTCCTCGTGTCTCTGAGTCCTGACTCCATCAGAGCTCCAGCTCTCCTCGTGTCTCTCTGAGTCCTGACTCCATCAAAGCTCCAGCTCTCCTCGTGTCTCTGAGTCCTGACTCCATCAAAGCTCCAGCTCTCCTCGTGTCCTCTGAGTCCTGACTCCATCAGAGCTCCAGCTCTCCTCGTGTCTCTCTGAGTCCTGACTCCATCAAAGCTCCAGCTCTCCTCGTGTCTTTCTGAGTCCTGACTCCATCAAAGCTCCAGCTCTCCTCGTGTCTCTCCGAGTCCTGACTCCATCAAAGCTCCAGCTCTCCTCGTGTCTTTCTGAGTCCTGACTCCATCAAAGCTCCAGCTCTCCTCGTGTCTCTCTGAGTCCTGACTCCATCAAAGCTCCAGCTCTCCTCGTGTCTCTCTGAGTCCTGACTCCATCAAAGCTCCAGCTCTCCTCGTGTCTCTCTGAGTCCTGACTCCTATTGCTTCAGAAGTTTCCCTCACAGGTGTGTGTTAGCTTCCCTAGAGGTGCTGTTCTGCATGAATGAGGTGTGAATGGGTGAATGACTCGTAGTATGTAAAGAGCTTTGAGGGGTCGAGAAGACCTGATAAAGAGATTTATAAGTACAGTCCATTTACCATTTCCCTCAGACTCTAAACGCTATACTAAGTGCATTTGATGAGTAATACAGTAGTAGTAAATATACACAGTAAAGCCGAGCAGAAAGAAAGCAAAAGAGAAACAGTTGATAGAACAGAAGCAGGTATTTTGAGATTAGAGATAAATATATTGGGGGACGATAAACATGAAGCAAAGCAACCTGTTGCTGTCGTAGCTTCTCTAGCCGACAATACAAGTCTTTGACTGCGACTGGGCTGCAGCCGCTGCTGCAGGAGGAAGGAAAGACAGAGAGGAAAATATTTTCTACCATTTGAAAATTACACCATACAAAATGCTCCTCCACATATTAAAACAACTTTATGATTTCTGAAGAAAAAAGCTAACTTTTGGCTATAAAGGAACTACAGCACGGTCACATGACTTCACGTCACCACCGCTAAGCTAAAGGTGGCTAATGTTGGGCTATAAAGGAACTACAGCACGGTCACATGACTTCACGTCACCACCGCTAAGCTAAAGGAGGCTAATGTTGGGCTATAAAGGAACTACAGCACGGTCACATGACTTCACGTCACCACCGCTAAGCTAAAGGAGGCTAATTGTTGGGCTAAGAAAGGAACTACAGCAGCCCGGTCACATGACTTCACGTCACCACCGCTAAGCTAAAGGAGGCTATGTTGGGCTATAAAGGAACTACAGCACGGTCACATGACCTTCACGTTCACCACCGCTAAGCTAAAGGAGGCTAATTTTGGGGTATAAAGGAACTACAGCACGGTCACATGACTTCACGTCACCACCGCTAAGCTAAAGGAGGCTAATGTTGGGCTATAAAGGAACTACAGCACGGTCACATGACTTCACGTCACCACCGCTAAGCTAAAGGAGGCTAATGTTGGGCTATAAAGGAACTACAGCACGGTCACATGACTTCACGTCACCACCGCTAAGCTAAAGGTGGCTAATGTTGGGCTATAAAGGAACTACAGCACGGTCACATGACTTCACGTCACCACCGCTAAGCTAAAGGAGGCTAATGTTGGGCTATAAAGGAACTACAGCACGGTCACATGACTTCACGTCACCACCGCTAAGCTAAAGACGGCTAATGTTGGGCTATAAAGGAACTACAGCACGGTCACATGACTTCACGTCACCACCGCTAAGCTAAAGGAGGCTAATGTTGGGCTATAAAGGAACTACAGCACGGTCACATGACTTCACGTCACCACCGCTAAGCTAAAGGTGGCTAATGTTGGGCTATAAAGGAACTACAGCACGGTCACATGACTTCACGTCACCACCGCTAAGCTAAAGGAGGCTAATGTTGGGCTATAAAGGAACTACAGCACGGTCACATGACTTCACGTCACCACCGCTAAGCTAAAGACGGCTAATGTTGGGCTATAAAGGAACTACAGCACGGTCACATGACTTCACGTCACCACCGCTAAGCTAAAGGTGGCTAATGTTGGGGTATAAAGGAACTACAGCACGCTCACATGACTTCACCTCACCACCGCTAAGCTAAAGGTGGCTAATGTTGGGCTATAAAGGAACTACAGCACGGTCACATGACTTCACGTCACCACCGCTAAGCTAAAGGAGGCTAATGTTGGGCTATAAAGGAACTACAGCACGGTCACATGACTTCACGTCACCACCGCTAAGCTAAAGGTGGCTAATGTTGGGGTATAAAGGAACTACAGCACGCTCACATGACTTCACCTCACCACCGCTAAGCTAAAGGTGGCTAATGTTAGGCGTGATGACGTTTAGTCGTCTCATTTAGACACTTGTTAGAAGCCGCTGTTTTTAAATCCACCAGTGGGGTATTTACTGACTTAAAACGTTCTTTTTGGTTCTCAGTCTGAGAGTCTCTTACCTTGCTTTGCGGCCGCCGCCTCCTCCTTGGCTGTCTTTGCCCCTTCGATGGCCGCCAGCTTGCCCTCGTACACCTCCTTCAGGGCGTTCCACTCCTTCCTGTTGTTCAGCAGGCGCTCCAGCATCGGGGTGATCTCCACGTGGAAACGACTGAACTCCTGGAGAGGAAGAGATCACACAATTACGTTTACTTAATCTTTGACATAAAACACTAACAAAGGAGTTTCAGAGCATCAGGACACCAGACTCAGAGACAGTTTGTTCCCACAGGCCATCAGACTGTTAAACACCTGAACCCTTTAAAGAACATCCATAACACTCATCTGTTTGCATCGTGCTAATTATTTATCTATATATTGTACATAGACTCTTCTTGCACTATTTCTACTTTATTTGTATTAACTTGCACATCTCAAAACATTCTCTTGCACTATTGTATCTGTTTAATTGTTTTATGCCCAATATATATTCATGTTGATCTGTTGGAGGAGGACTTCAGTTTGTCATTGACATATCTACACTGTGGCTGCTGATGGTGATAGAGACTTGGATCTTGGATCAGAGGGTGTGAGGAAAGTCGATTATCAACACCTGGACCATTTTGAAATTAAGTCACCCAGCAAAAAGTCAAGTTAAAATCAATTCCTAGGTCAGACTTTACAGGTGTTAGACCTTCAGAACAATGTAGCTACAGGTGTTTATAGCAGCGAGTGTTGGCTAGGTTAAAAGCAGGTGTGTGATATCTGACCTTGTACACAAAAGCACAAACGAAGTCGATGAAGCCACACTGCATCTTCGGCAGTTCGTCTGACTTGCTTCTGTCCATCATGGGCTGGAGAGGAGAGAGGGAAATGTATCACCAACTCGACTGCTGAGCACATGCATCTTCATCTCTATATGAAAACAACTTGATATGTGTCTGTTGATGTTACACATGGAGCTGCTGTGATGCAAGTCAAACTTCAGACTTGATCTGCCCATTAAAGTATTATCCTATCGTATCGTATCGTAAACAAAGTACGTTTATTAACACAGTATATTTCAACACAAGGGAATTCAAAGAGCTTTACAAAAGTTTAACATTGTTAGGATATAGTGCAACAGAAACATGCTACGTAGCTAAAGCTATTTAGCACCGATTGGAAGTTAACCCTAACCCACGTTACCACCGCTAAGCTAAAGGTGGCTAATGTTGGGCTATAAAGGAACTACAGCACGGTCACATGACTTCACGTCACCACCGCTAAGCTAAAGGAAGCTAATGTTGGGCTATAAAGGAACTACAGCACGGTCACATGACTTCACGTCACCACCGCTAAGCTAAAGGAGGCTAATGTTGGGCTATAAAGGAACAACAGCACGGTCACATGACTTCACGTCACCACCGCTAAGCTAAAGGTGGCTAATGTTGGGCTATAAAGGAACTACAGCACGGTCACATGACTTCACGTCACCACCGCTAAGCTAAAGGTGGCTAATGTTGGACTATAAAGGAACTACAGCACGGTCACATGACTTCACGTCACCACCGCTAAGCTAAAGGAAGCTAATGTTGGGCTATAAAGGCACTACAGCACGGTCACATGACTTCACGTCACCACCGCTAAGCTAAAGGTGGCTAATGTTGGGCTATAAAGGAACTACAGCACGGTCACCTGACTTCATGTCACCACCGCTAAGCTAAAGGTGGCTAATATTGGGCTATAAAGGAACTACAGCACGGTCACATGACTTCACGTCACCACCGCTAAGCTAAAGGAGGCTAATGTTGGGCTTTAAAGGAACTTCACGCTGGCTGTAATCGCCCACCTACATTTGAGAAAATAGTTTGAGCCTCTGCAAAGTTTTCTCAGTGAGTCACAGCAGAAGAAAACAAACTGATCAAATGAAGTGTCCTCCCCGCCGACACAGAGGCTATTAAACTGTGAGGTGAGAGAGAGTGGGATGTTGAAGGACACGAGGCGACTCTCTCTCTGTTTCACTGCTCCACTTAATGGCCTGAGCATCAGCTCCGCTCAGGGAACTGAATCTGTCCCTTCATTCTGTCTTCAGCCGTGAGTCTGTCTCTTGTTCTGCTCTCCATCCCAAACAGAAGAAGCCTCGTCTGATTAATAACCATCATTCCTGTCCACCAAATCCTCTGGTTCTCCTCTCAAAGTTTTACTCAATACAATATAAAGGGGCTTTATTGGCATGACCACATTTTAAACATTGTATTGCCAAAGCATTCCACACACTCATTACTCACTCATCTGGGATCTAACGGTGTACACTTACTCAAGCATTGTACTTCTGTACTACAGGTACCATCAGAGAGGTGGGAAGTAACTAACTATATTTACTCAAGTACAATTTAGAGGGACTGGTACTTTACTTGAGATAAAGTACTCAGATCTTGTACTTGAGTAAAAGTAGAAGTACTCAGGTCTTGTGGTAAAAGTAGAAGTACTCAGATCTTGTACTTGAGTAAAAGTAGAAGTACTCAGATCTTGTACTTGAGTAAAAGTAGAAGTACTCAGATCTTGTACTTGAGTAAAAGTAGAAGTACTCAGATCTTGTACTTGAGTAAAAGTAGAAGTACTCAGATCTTGTACTTGAGTAAAAGTAGAAGTACTCAGGTCTTGTACTTGAGTAAAAGTAGAAGTACCAGAGTGTAGGAATACTCTGTCACAGTAAAAGTCCTGCATTCAAAATGTTCCTCAAGTGAAAGTATAAAAGTATTATCATCTAAATATAGTGAAAGTCGCGACAGTAAAAGTAGTCGTTGTGCAGATTGGTCCATTTCAGAATAATATATATGATATGTTTTATAATGATTGATCATGAAAGTGTTCTCAAAGCTGGTAAAGGTGCAGCTAGTTTGAAGGACTTTGTATACTGCAGGGTAGCTAATTAAAGGTATGAAATACATGTACAGGAGTAAAAGTACACAGTATAAGATCGAAATACTCAAGAGAAGTACAAGTTACTCAAATGTGTACTTGTACTTGTTATATTCCCTCTGTGTCTCTATAAAACCTGGTTTTAGGGTCTCCTCACAATGGGGGTCTGCTCCAGGACGCTCCTCTCCAGGTCTCCCTGCTCCCAGAACTCTGCAGCCACCGACAGCGCCACCTACAGGGGAACAGAGGAGTTTCATGAGTCAGTGGGTGGAAGATCATTTGACTCGTAGGTGCAAAAAAAAAAGACGATAACAAAATAAATAATCTAGAACCATTTTGTTGACTTTGATCATCAATTACCTCGATGCTCTCTAGACAGTTTGCACAGCTGTGTGCGTCACTCTTTAGTGTCCCCTTCTCTCCCAGCTGTGTGCGTCACTCTTTAGTGTCCCCTTCTCTCCCAGCTGTGTGCGTCACTCTTTAGTGTCCCCTTCTCTCCCAGCTGTGTGCGTCACTCTTTAGTGTCCCCTTCTCTCCCAGCTGTGTGCGTCACTCTTTAGTGTCCCCTGGTCTCCCAGCTGTGTGCGTCACTCTTTAGTGTCCCCTTCTCTCCCAGCTGTGTGCGTCACTCTTTAGTGTCCCCTGGTCTCCCAGCTGTGTGCGTCACTCTTTAGTGTCCCCTGGTCTCCCAGCTGTGTTCGTCACTCTTTAGTGTCCCCTGGTCTCCCAGCTGTGTTCGTCACTCTTTAGTGTCCCCTTCTCTCCCAGCTGTGTGCGTCACTCTTTAGTGTCCCCTTCTCTCCCAGCTGTGTGTGTCACTCTTTAGTGTCCCCTTCTCTCCCAGCTGTGTGCGTCACTCTTTAGTGTCCCCTTCTCTCCCAGCTGTGTGCGTCACTCTTTAGTGTCCCCTTCTCTCCCAGCTGTGTGCGTCACTCTTTAGTGTCCCCTGGTCTCCCAGCTGTGTGCGTCACTCTTTAGTGTCCCCTGGTCTCCCAGCTGTGTGCGTCACTCTTTAGTGTCCCCTGGTCTCCCACCTGTGTGCGTCACTCTTTAGTGCCCCCTGGTCTCCCAGATGTGTTCGTCACTCTTTAGTGTCCCCTGGTCTCCCAGCTGTGTGCGTCACTCTTTAGTGCCCCCTGGTCTCCCAGCTGTGTTCGTCACTCTTTAGTGTCCCCTGGTCTCCCAGCTGTGTGTGTCACTCTTTAGTGTCCCCTGGTCTCCCAGCTGTGTGCGTCACTCTTTAGTGTCCCCTGGTCTCCCAGCTGTGTGCGTCACTCTTTAGTGTCCCCTGGTCTCCAGCTGTGTGCGTCACTCTTTAGTGTCCCCTTCTCTCCCAGCTGTGTGCGTCACTCTTTAGTGTCCCCTGGTCTCCCAGCTGTGTTCGTCACTCTTTAGTGTCCCCTGGTCTCCCAGCTGTGTTCGTCACTCTTTAGTGTCCCCTTCTCTCCCAGCTGTGTGCGTCACTCTTTAGTGTCCCCTTCTCTCCCAGCTGTGTGTGTCACTCTTTAGTGTCCCCTTCTCTCCCAGCTGTGTGCGTCACTCTTTAGTGTCCCCTTCTCTCCCAGCTGTGTGCGTCACTCTTTAGTGTCCCCTTCTCTCCCAGCTGTGTGCGTCACTCTTTAGTGTCCCCTGGTCTCCCAGCTGTGTGCGTCACTCTTTAGTGTCCCCGTGGTCTCCCAGCTGTGTGCGTCACTCTTTAAGTGTCCCCTGGTCTCCCACCTGTGTGCGTCACTCTTTAGTGCCCCCTGGTCTCCCAGATGTGTTCGTTCACTCTTTAGTGTCCCCTGGTCTCCCAGCTGTGTGCGTCACTCTTTAGTGCCCCCTGGTCCTCCCAGCTGTGTTCGTCACTCTTTAGTGTCCCCTGGTCTCCCAGCTGTGTGTGTCACTCTTTAGTGTCCCCTGGTCTCCCAGCTGTGTGCGTCACTCTTTAGTGTCCCCTGGTCTCCCAGCTGTGTGCGTCACTCTTTAGTGTCCCCTGGTCTCTCAGCTGTGTGCGTCACTCTTTAGTGTCCCCTTCTCTCCCAGCTGATGTGCGTCACTCTTTAGTGTCCCTTCTCTCCCAGCTGTGTGCGTCACTCTTTAGTGTCCCCTGGTCTCCAGCTGTGTGCGTCACTCTTTAGTGTCCCCTGGTCTCCCAGCTGTGTTCGTCACTCTTTAGTGTCCCCTGGTCTCCCAGCTGTGTGCGTCACTCTTTAGTGTCCCCTGGGTCTCCAGCTGTGTGCGTCACTCTTTAGTGTCCCCTGGTCTCCCAGCTGTGTGTGTCACTCTTTAGTGTCCCCTGGTCTCCAGCTGTGTGCGTCACTCTTTAGTGTCCCCTGGTCTCCCAGCTGTGTGCGTCACTCTTTAGTGTCCCCTGGTCTCCCAGCTGTGTGCGTCACTCTTTAGTGTCCCCTGGTCTCCCAGCTGTGTGCGTCACTCTTTAGTGTCCCCTGGTCTCCCAGCTGTGTGCGTCACTCTTTAGTGTCCCCTTCTCTCCCAGCTGTGTGCGTCACTCTTTAGTGTCCCCTGGTCTCCCAGCTGTGTGCGTCACTCTTTAGTGTCCCCTGGTCTCCAGCTGTGTGCGTCACTCTTTAGTGTCCCCTTCTCTCCCAGCTGTGTGCGTCACTCTTTAGTGTCCCCTTCTCTCCCAGCTGTGTGCGTCACTCTTTAGTGTCCCCTGGTCTCCAGCTGTGTGCGTCACTCTTTAGTGTCCCCTGGTCTCCCAGCTGTGTTCGTCACTCTTTAGTGTCCCCTGGTCTCCCAGCTGTGTGCGTCACTCTTTAGTGTCCCCTGGTCTCCAGCTGTGTGCGTCACTCTTTAGTGTCCCCTGGTCTCCCAGCTGTGAGCGTCACTCTTTAGTGTCCCCTGGTCTCCCAGCTGTGAGCGTCACTCTTTAGTGTCCCCTGGTCTCCCAGCTGTGAGCGTCACTCTTTAGTGTCCCCTGGTCTCCCAGCTGTGTGCGTCACTCTTTAGTGTCCCCTTGTCTCTCAGCTGTGTGCGTCACTCTTTAGTGTCCCCTTGTCTCTCAGCTGTGTAACTCAAAGTTAAATGCACATGACATGAAACAGAGCGAGTCCATTTTATGCTTGTATGATTTCTGGATAAAGATTTTCAGTGCTATATTCTGGTGATACTGTCCTTTATAAGATATATATATATATGCTGTCACATTCAAAAGCCTCAGTTGGAGCTTTATTACCACGGGGCTGATTTGAGTGTCATTTGAACAATGAGAAACCCTTGTTGTTAAATTCAGCCCACAAAGCATTCACAATGTTCCCTCAATGAGAGTCTTATAATCCCAGCTCACGAGGCAGTTTCAGGCTTTGTGTTTTGACGAGATGAAAGCCTGAGAGGAGCAGCGTGAGATCTGGTGAATAATATGTGAATTCTGCATTCAGGACAGAAAGAGTTAGTCATGAAGCCGGTTATGGGGAACAATTGCCACGAGGCAGCTGCAGCAGATATTCAGTGTGCGTGGGAAGCAGAACGAAAAGTAAAATATCAGCTATAAAAATGTCAGCGGCATATTGTAAGTGAGCATCTGAAGCTTTTCGTCGTTCCATAACATCTGACAGAAGGCCGCGTATCATCGCTGAGAGAATCTATCTGTGCTTTGGAAGATTTTTATGTAGGAATCGGAGCATCTTATCAATCTAAATCTCAAAGAGCAGCAATACCAGACTCAGAGATACACTGTGGGTAAATTCAATTCTGGTATCTCTGCACAAGATAACACCCCAAAGCAGAGATGGCAACAGTACACACATCCTTTACTCAAGTAGAAGTACAGATACTCGTGTTTAAATATACTCTGGTGAAAGTAGAAGTACTGACTAAACTTCTTTACTCAAGTCAAAGTAAAGAGGCTTTGAAATGTACTTCAGTAAAAAGTACCCATAACTAGCAGCTGCTTTAAAGAGTACCTGACCTCCCTTTATATTAATAGAACAATAATGTCATTGTTAGCTAATGAATGTTTCCATGCTGAACAACGGCAACATGACAACGTTTCCATTGGTCCCTCTTCTTTAGAGAAGACCAGGAAATGATGGATACACGGATCGTGTTCCAATCAATAGGCACGCAATGACTCTAAAGAATAATGATCACGCACCAAACACACATTCAGACTAAAGGAACCAGCTGTTTGAAGAATGAGAGAAGTAGAAAGTACAGGTATTTGGGTTCAACATGTAAGAAGTCAAAGCAAAAAGTCGTCAGAAAAATAAGTAGTGGAGGGAAGTACTGATACCAGAAAAATATCATAAAAAGGTCCCATGTCATGCTTTTCCGGTTCTTACCCGTCCCCTTGTGTTATGAAGGTTTGTCTGCATGTAAACGGTCTGCAGAGTCACAACCCCTCAAAGTACACCCTGTAGCGAGTAAAACTCTAACACAGAAAACACCTGTCTAGCTGCCCCAGAACGCCTCGTTGGACATTTCTCTTTTTCTTCCTGGGTGCAGTGACGTGCCCACACCCAAATGGACCCATCTGCGGAGCCGTTACGTTGGACCAATCCGCAGACTTCCTCACACACACACACACTCAATCTTTTCTCAGCTGCAGCTCCACCGATTTCTCCTCCGTGAGACGGTGGGACGCGGCGAGGCTGTGAGTCGGTGTGTGAGCACACACACAAACTCCCAGCCAGGCTGCGGGTGTGTGTGTGTTCGGGCTGGTTTCGGGCTGGGCTTCGCTGTCTCGCATACGGCCACTGGGCTCATAGGGAGGGGGGGCAGGAGCTCCAACAAGCCGTTTAGGACAGAGAGTGAATACACAGACTATACAGAGATGCTGTGAGAAACCAAGGTGATTTTGGAAAACCTCAACAATGGAACTATGATCAGTAGAAATGGCCATGACATGGGACCTTTAAATACAGTAACAAAGTATTTGTACTCCACTTCTTCCCAACTCTGTTCCAAAGTGTTTGCAGGGTTTCACGTGACAGCTACTCTCTGGATGTTAGCGCTGCACTGAGGGAGGAATTCACCTTTAAAAAGGAGAGAGTTAGTCATCAAACTACTTTAAGAGCCCAATCCATAGGAGACGCTGGAGATAGATGTGCTGACAGAGTGTGGGAGGCCGAGCTGACTCACAGGTGCTCAGAGGCTGAAATACAACCAGATAATATAGAAATAAAGTGGAATAACCTAAAGGCAGGGATTGTGCCATACAGCAGGAGAAACAGAACAGAACGTCTTTTAAAACTTGGTTTCTAAAACAAATGCTACTCAAGTTGGCAGCAT